GTTTTCCTTACCTTTAAAACAGACGCCCGTCCCAAATTCATGTCATGAGTCACTCAATCCATTAGTATCTAGTAGATCGATGTAGGGCTTACTGCCAGTCAGAATCAAGTACAGATCTAAGAGCGAAAAGGTCGTCAGCCTTGGTAGGTATATAGCCCCTCCCCTAAAGTCCTGCTTGATACCTCGATCCCGGAGCGCCTGTTTCTAGAGGACTCCTAGGAAAGATACTCCTACTAAAATCGTAGATACATAGATCTAGACAGTTATTTAAAAGAAAATTTCGGGGGGCAACGTCGGCGTGGATTACTTGTTTGTCGTGAAGGCTTGCCAGCGCTCGAGCTGCCTAGGTCGCCCACTTTCCACGAGTTTCAAGGTCTACACCGCTCGCGGCGTCATTTTCCCTGAAGTATGTAGCTAGATCTCGGTTGGACTGATATTTAAGGGTCAGAGTGCAGGACTGGGTATCCTAGCCTAGGAATTTCGGGATTGTCGGTATGCTCAATGAAAATTTTTCTTAGTAATCAATCAACTCAACTTCAACACGATATTGAGTTGGTTGCGTTGATAATGGTTAATCAGGTGTCGTCGCGTGTGTGTGTGTGTGTAAATTAACGTCTTTTACTGCGCCTTAGAGCAGGCTTTAAGACGCGGCCCAAACGTCGGTGTCGGGGGAGTCCGTGGCGACGGCGTTGATAAGTGGGCGGAAATGATCGAACTTGAGTAGGCCTCCTCGTACATGCTGAAGTATAGAGAGTAGTTTGATGGCCACATTGACTCCTTCGTCTGGCGAAGCAAGGTTGTACGCGGTAGGCGAGGCAATCAAAACTGGCAGGACAGTGGCAACGTCAGTGCGCCAGGCTTCATTAGATCCTTCCAAGTGGCTTAGCGTTTGTGAAAATCGCGTGAGCGAGCCATTGAAGGGACAATCTGCGATAGTGTTGATTTGCTTCTCGGTCAGCGTCATTTCGAGGCGTCTGGTAGTGTTCGCGGTCGCGTAGAATTTTGGCGAATAGAATGTAAACAGATGAGAGGCGCGACAGGTCACGTGTGCTAGGGCGGTGGTAACAGGCACCGCTCGCGGATAAGTATTGCGACGGCGGATAGCGAGAGGAACAAGTCGAGGAAGCTGAGGTTGAGGGGGATGACGAATTTATAACTCGGTGCATTCGTGGCAGGGGTTGAGGGTCGCGGGAGCGAGACATGTTGTGACCCCGATCTAGCAGAGCCCCATCGGATACTGGCAGGCCAGCCCGGCGCATTACAGGGACACAGGGCTGGCAGAATTGAGCGATCACACAACTGCATTTACCTGCCCCGTGCTGACAGATGATATGTAAAATGATATACATGCCCGTGACGTGGTGATCGATGCAGTCACAAGCTAACTGGTTAGATCCGCCGCTTTCCCGCACTAAAGATAGAATACTACCCTTCAACTAGACAGCGTTCCTACGCAGAACAGCAGCTTTTTCACGATGTGCTTGTACACCAGCACAGATAAAACAACTTAATCATGTGTGCTAGTTATTTCCTGGCAGAGCACGGTGGCTGATGCCGAGTGCTAAGCAGCAGTCCGAACATTGGCCCGTTCAATGCGTTCTTCCTCCACTAGTATGCCCGTGTATTTGGCAGAGAGTTGAGCAGACTTAGCTGTTCACCATGCCCAAAGGACCTTCGCTTCATCAAATCTAATCATAGAACTAGCAGCAACGTCCGTCCCTTAAAAAAAGAGGGATAGGTGCGTTGGGCAATGTCGAGGCTGCGGCTATTCCGCCAACATGCTCGTGCGCAACTCTGCGTACGCGCAACCCATGGCAGCTAAATGGTAGACGTAGCTTTATTACTTCTAGGCAACGCCACGCTACATAGACTGTCCCAGCCGCTGTCGAAGCAGCTATGCGGCTTTCTATCCACCTATTGATTTTGTTGCTCTTGGTCCCGAAAGCAAAGCTTGTCCTGGTCAGATGTCTGATGAGATAAATAGTCGCCTTCCCGGACTACAATCTCCCACAAGAGATGCTTCTTGTCTGAAGCAGCAAGGCGGAAGGCTGCTTCTAAGACTTCGTTGACAGCCTCGGTCGACTGCTTGTCATATGCTCTGTTAGCCGCTTGTTTCGCTCACTAAGAATTGCTTATCTTACCTCCATCTTAAGTCATAAGACAATGTGATACGCAAGTTGGTAGAGTGATTAGTCGGCGATTTGATTATACTTATAGCTTTCCTTAAACACGCGCATATCCTTTACTAATTGAATCTAGGGAGTAAAAAGCCTTTACTAAGATTTGCTGAGCGTGTTATCAACATCTTACATGAACTAGCTCCAAATGCGAAAATCTGCTTTTTTCGGGGCCTAATGATAGCCACGGGATGCTGTGCAGTGTTGAGTTTAGAAATGGAATAAAAAATCTTTTGCGCTTTTATGAATCGAGGCTATTCTCGGCAGATGTAGGGGCTGTGGAGCCGACGCAACAAGAGAGGCACACAGGCAGGGAGACACATTCGGTACGGTCTAAACAAAGGCTATCTTGGCAGGTTTAGCAGCAACATTTACAGTGCGGCATGGCTCGGTATAGCCATTTTTCCAGCATCTATGGCATCACATGGGTACTGAGGCACTACGTCGCGGGCGGGGAGGAGAACTGGTCACAAGACGAAAAGCCGCAACCCACTTGAAACTTATCGCGGCTGCCAGCAGGTGCTGAGCACGTGTCGTATCACGTGTAGACTGCATGTACCCAAGTTCTGCCCCTCACTGGTAAACAGCGGCGAAGGAAATCAGCGAAAGCCATCACTTACATATACGCGGCCTGCAACAACAGTCCCGACACGGAGAAACAGGGTTCTAATAACCAGTGTAAACTAACGCCACAAAATTACAGACAGCCTGTCTACCCCGGCTGTTTTGAGCTCTTCCTTGCAAATTATAGGAGCTATGAAATTTCACCTGAAAAAGGATGGTTGCTATCCCGCTCCCGGCTTAGCACGATGTCTGTATTCAGGCGATGTTTACACAATTTGAACATCCATTTTGTGAACGATATCCGTCGCTAGTCTGAAAAGGGTGATATTTCCAGTGCGTGCACCTGCAAATTTCACTAGCTTGGGACTAGTGCCATCAGCTAAAGTGGGCCGCCTCTATTGGCTCCACATATCAACTTGTAAGGGGGGTAGTACCTTCGCCCTGGTGTCACAAATCCCGTCTGTTCCATCCTCCTTCACACCGTTATTTTGATAACTATGGGAAAACGCAAGGCAGGCAAACGCCTTTCTCAACACACGAAACGCCGTAAAACAGAAGTTCCAACCATTAATGAGCTTCGGTATCTGCTAGAGCCATATGATGGCAGCGAAAGAGCTGACGTGGTACTCAAAGACGAAGCCAACCGCGTAACACTTCGACGATGGTACGACTCTCTCTCTAGCGACTTCAGACGTGGACGAAAACGGAATGCTTTAAATAGCGAAGCAATCCAAAATATCAGAAGCCCGCAGATCCGAATTGCAGCGCCAATTTTGAGCCAGTTCGACCGGTGGTATCAAGACCCAAGAAGCTTTTGGTGGCCAACCCGTGGTCAACCAGCCCTAGAAGAAGGCTCTGCCGGTGCACCAAACAGATACGGCCGACGTTTTATCGAAGATGCGATCGAGAACTACAAGAGAATTGCCATCTACAAGGTCCTGTGGAGGTTCACAACTGTCGCTGCGTACTTAGCATTCCGGCGGTCAAGGCCGTCGCCTCCACGCTACATCACAAATGTGCAAATCAACGAGTTCTTGACATTTATGGGATGCGAGGTCACTGAGGAAACAACTGCCATGGTTTGGTCTATAGTAAAGGCTGGGCAGCGCCGTATAACATTCAGTGACCTGCTTGCGGGCACCGCAGAAAAAGAATGTGTTGGCGAAGCTGCCGATGAGGCCGCATATCTACGACAAAAAAGCGCCTTAGGGGTATTCTTCCTGGATGTTTTACCTGATTCTATGTAGGTTCTTACAACGTTGAGTCTGAATTGCATGCTGATTGTTCTAGCTGGGATGAAGAGGACGGCTTACGAAGCGAGGACCTCCACAATGCGATAAAACACCTGCGTTCCATCGGCATCCTGACGTTGTTGGCCGAAAAAAATACCGAGCGCGTGGCAGATGCGCTTTTGAATTTCCAACAACTATTACTTTGGCCTGATGAAGATGCTCTGCGACCCATGAGCCGTGGTTCAATATATCCTGGTACTTCTACTAGCTGCATCTCCCGACAACCGGCCCCTAGCTCTACCGCAACGTTGTTAAGAGAAAGTCAAACGAGCGAGGCAACTGCTGCGGGAGTGGCACCTGGAGTAATACACCTTCTCGCTGCTGCCCAAGTCACAGGAATAGCGGGCAATAGCAGGAAGGTATCATCCACGCAAGAGCAACATGATAACTTGTCCGTGCGGGCACATCCTCCGCATGCAATTTCGAATATCCGCAGCATCAACGTCAATTCCCACAGTTTCACTGCCCCTGGTTGCTTCAATGGATCCAATACCGTACTCAATACTACCGACGCTAATTTCTCGGTGAATATTGCGTCAACCGAAGGCGATCACTGCAGCCGCTATTACGTACAACCGGAATCATTTGGTGATGCTGTACCAGCTGACAATTCCAACGGTATCTATGTACAGCCAGAATCATTCGGTGATGCTGTACCAGCTGACAATTCCGCTGGCTTCTATGTACAGCCGGAAGCGTTTGGTGATGCTGTACCAGCTGACAATTCCAACGGCTTCTATGTGCATCCGGAAGCGTTTGGTGATGCTGTACCAGCTGACAATTCCAACGGCTTCTATGTGCAGCCGGAAGCGTTTGGTGATGGTGTGCCACCTGATAACCCGGCTGTATTCTTCACCCGATCCCAGTCATTTGGTGACAACATACCCACTGATAACTCCAACGGCCACTATGTCGAGCCCTTCGCCGCCGCTGTTCATATTGACGCCACCCCATTCGTTTGACAGCGTGGGCGCACAACGCAATATCAATTCTAGTTGTTCGGCCACAGCTTTCATACAACCTATTCCCCCCAGCAAGCCAATTACAAGCTATCCCCAAACACCAGTCTATCTTCTCTCACCTCGTCGCGTTATTTGGCAACATGAACACGGGATCGAACGATCGTCACCCAACAATACCAGTAGCTTCTGCCTAGGACGAGGTTTATTTCGCCTTTACCAACCAAAGCAAATACAAGATACTCCCGTCTGCAACTTGCACTGTGATTTTCCTTGAAAGATGGCCTCTGTCACCCAGCGCAAGTCTGATAGATTCCTTCCCATCGGAAATAGAGTAGCTCTCGCCCGCGATTGGTATTAGGTCACCAACGTCAAAGAAGTATTTGTAGTTTCTAGGGTCGCCGGTGATTCGTATAAGTATGTGCTTCATGCCCTTCACGTATTGTCAGTTCCTGGTATAAGGTTTCCTGTTATAGATGGGCATACTTTTCCAATGAGCGGCTCTATGAGGTGGCGGACATCTTTGTGGAAGTACTCGTCCATGCCTTCATAATCAGCTTTAGGTATCCACCCTGTTGGATGTTGCTCAATGTGATGTAATAGGCTCTCCAACTGCTGCCTCTCCGTCTCGGTGAGCTGGACTGCATCAACTGCTTGCGACATTGAGATGACTTTGGCCCTGCTATGACCTTTCCCCGAGATAGCCCAGGGGAAGAGGAGAAGTCTAAAGGGGTGCTACCCGCATCTGGTAGGGAATATATCTCAGATTTTGCGCCGGGCATTGATTGAGGGGCACGAGATGTCAAAATCATGCCCAAAACGGGGTTATGAAGATGGTCACGTGCCGGTTATCATGTGACTTTCTAGGTGTCACACCAGCCACAACCATCTCTTGTCGGCACAGGAGACGCAACCCGCAGGCGGGTTGCCCAGAAAGAGCCTTGAGGACGAAGTTAGAGACAGAAATTATCCAGGCTGGGATGCTTTAGAGTAGTAGAAGTATTTGAATACTAGAAACATAAATATCCAGAGGTGCGTAATTTTATTTTATTTCCAGGTGCTCAGCGCTCTACAGATGCAATGCCGTGGCTGTGGCGCTTCACAGTGGGTGGGGTGCCAAACCAGCCTGATTGGTAGGCTGCATAGCTGAAACGAAATTGTCATGGCACAATGAAAATCTGTTGTCTCCCGTCGCATACCTTTTCTTCAACGCGAACTTGGTCCAACGCCGGATCGATGCGAACGGAGGACATCGGCGCTGTATTGGCATGAGTGGGTACTTTACTTATAAAAGTGGCATTAATATGGTCTTGAGGATGACGACCTGGGAGACTTGGACCCTTTCTCCAGCAATGGCAAAAGGCAGACCGAAGGGAAGTCGGTCAAAGCGCAGGTTTTTGAGCGGGAGCTTTTATGCCTAGATGCGGTGAACGAACCGTCTGCTGTAAAAACTGCATATCGCACTCCCGTCTTTCTAGGGCACGGTGATGCAGATGAAAAAGTCCCCGTTCGTCTGGGCGAGACCGCTGCCGCTGTTATGCGCTCTGCCGGATACAAGGTCCACTGGAAAAGCTATCAGAAACAAGGGCATTGGTATAAAATCCCGGACGAAATTGACGACATGATCTGGTTTATTGCTCAGGTTGGATGGAAGACAGCTGGGAGAAGTCAGTAGTACGACGGCTGTTTAAATGCAGGGTGCCAATGTGTCTGGATTGTTTGATTTGATGCCCGTGGCCTTGAATCGCTGCCGACCACATATAAAAATCCGCATAATGCGATATTTGTGGACAAGAACCGAATTGTCATCAATGTTGGGCGATGATCTCATGTACGCAGGAAAAGAATAAATTTTGCCTGAGGCTGCAATATGTGAGTCATATCTGCCCTCTGACAACATCACGGAACGCGGTGTAATGACGTCAATGGCTGAGGACGTTTCACACAAACGCAAGCCCCGAATCGACAAAAGACGTGTGCTTAGGTTAATCTGTAAGTCAGGACTAGCAACAATAGATCTGTCATCGTATCGCCAGTTGCTATGTAGGGGCTAGCACACTGGATGAGCTTGCTTGTTCCTGAGGACGTGAGGCAGAGTGTATTTATTTTCCGACGATGAGCCGACCCAGGCTTGGCTCCGTCCGTTGCATCGCATGAAAACTATTTGGAAAATTGCGTTTGGATATCCAATTTAAGCTTTACCTCTGAGACAGATATCTCCTTATGGTCCACTGTCTTCGGAAGCGGCCGCTCGTTGATGCACAAGTTGATGCAGGAGAGA